GTTTGCCGTGATTCAGCATGGTCATTCATAATTCAGGGAAGTCTGACCACCCTGGTTTCATCTTAAAGCAAAGCTTGGCCTGTCCTAACAACCCCGCATGTTGTGAGGCTATGTACTTTCTCAGTGCTCACCCCCATTCCAACACACTGGAAAAATGGTCAAGGAAGCCTGTCAGCAGTGTGAGCACTGGGGCTTTCATCTAGTCCTGTGGAAGTGGTGCGGTCAAAACTTCATTGCTGTGTTTCCAACATCCAGCAAAGTGCCTGGCATGAAATAGGCATTTAAACATAAACGTTATTGAGCAGATCACAATACGCTTTTAAACAGATCCCTTTCTCTCTCTCTCTCTCTGATCCAGGATCCCCAACAAGGCTAATGTGCCTTTTTTAGTTTGTTTTTTATGACATTGACTTTTATGAAGAGTCTCGGCTAGTTGTAGAATGTCTTAAATTCTGGATTTGTTCCAGAGTGCTTTTAAAAATATATAAATCAGGACCAGGCGTGGTGGCTCTTTGGGAGAGAACTTTGGAAGGCCGAGGCAGGTAGATCACCTGAGGTCAGAAATTCAAGACCAGACTGACCAACATGGTGAAACCTTGTCTACTAAAAATATAAAATTAGCCAGGCGTGGGGGCACATGCCTGTAGTCCCAGCTACACAGATGGCTGAGGTAGGAGAATTGCTTGAACCTGGGAGGTGGAGGCTGCAGTTAGCTGAGATTGCACCACTGCACTCCAGTCTGGGCAACAAAAGCAAAACTCCATCTCAAAAAAAAAAAATATATATATATATATAAAATATTATATATAAATATGTATTATGATATTAGAATCTATATGGTATTTTATATATATATAATATTTATATGTATAAATGTATATATATTTTTTGAGATGGAGTTTTTTGCTCTTGTATATATATATATTAAGTTATTCCCATGTTTAAAGCCTTCCACTGGCTTCCTATAATATTTAGAAAATAAAGGCCAAACTCACTACCCTGGCTTACAAAGGCCTATACTACCTTTTGTATGTTTTCTTCTTTTTTATTATTATTATTATTTTTATTTATTTTTATTGAATTTTAGGTTTTGGGGTATGTATGTTTTCTTCTTTCTCACTTCAGCCACAGAGGCCTTCCTCCAGTTTCTCATATCCACAAAGCTCTCAAATCCTGCAAAATTCTCGCAGGACCTTGCACTGGCTGTTGCCTTTGCCTAATGTGCTTTTCGCTGAAGTTTGTTTGAAGGCTGGCTCCATCTCATAATTCAAATCTCAGTATGAATGCCATTTTCTCAGAGAGGCCTTCCTTACCTTGGCCCCCAATCTAAAGTAGTCACTTATTCACTCTCACATCACCCTTCTTTTAACTCTCTGCATGGTACCTATTATAACCTGATATTTTTCTTTTTCTTTTTTTGAAGCAGTGTCTGAATCTGTCACCTAGGCTAGAGTGCAGTGGCTGGATCATAGCTCACTGGAGCCTTGAACTCTTGGGCCTTGACTTCAGCCTCCTGAGTAGCTGAAACTAAAGGTGTGTGCCACCATACGAGGCTAATAAAAAAAAAAATTACTGGGCCAGGTGCGGTGGCTCACTCCTGTAATCCCAGCACTTTGGGAGGCTGAGGCGGGTGGATCACGAGGTCAAGAGATCGAGACCATCCTGGTCAACATGGTGAAACCCCGTCTCTACTAAAAATACAAAAAATTATGGGCATGGTGGCACGTGCCTGTAATCCCAGCTACTCAGGAGGCTGAGGCAGGAGAATTGCCTGAACCAAGGAGGCGGAGGTTGCAGTGAGCCAAGATTGTGCCATTGCACTCCAGCCTGGGTAAGGAGCGAAACTCCGTCTCAAAAAAAAAAAAAAAAAAAAAATTACTTTTGTAGATACAGAGTCTTGCTATGTTGCCCAGGCTGGTCTCAAACTCCTGGCCTCAAAGAGTCCTCCCACGTCAGCTTCCCAAAGTACTGGAATTACAGGTGTGAGCACACGCCGTCCTGATATTTTTCTTGAGCTCCGAGAGATCAGGGGCTGTGTTCTGTTGTGCTCACTACCATATTCCCTGTACCTAGAACAGTTCCTGACACACAGCAGAAACTTAATACAAACTTGCTGATACTGGAATGAATAGCTGAAAGCTGAGGATGAAAAGAAGCCAACCATTTAAAGAGCTTGGGGGAAAATCTAGGCACGGAGGAGGTCCTGAGAGAACCTTGAGGCTTAGTCTGTTCTGGAGCACTAAGAATACCCTGTGGAGGAAAGTAAGGCAGCAGGAGGAAGAAATTGAGAAGAGAGAAATTGACAGGGGCAAGATGGCTTAAGGCCTTTTTCCCCCATAGGGAGTTTGGATTTTATTTTAAATTAAATGGGAAATCACTAAAGGCTTTCAAGTAGGAGAGTGACATAATCTGACTTATGCCATTTAAAAAATATTTTTCAATTTGAGTGATTAGGAAGATGGAAGTGACTAATATCAGATATAGAAATCACATATGTAAGAGAAGATTTGCAGAGGGAAAATAATTTTGGACATGTCATGTACTTCGGTCTGGGCAAGGGGGCTCATGCCTGTAATCTCAGCACTTTGGGAGGCTGAGGCAAGAGGATCCTTTGAACCCAGGAGTTGGAGACCAGCCTGAGCAATGTAGTAAGACCTTGTGTCTATTGAAGAATAAAATTTCCTAGACATAGTGTCAAGCTCCTTTGGTCCCAGCTACTGGGCTACTGGGGGATAGGGGTGGGTGAAGGAGGAAAATTACTTGGCCCTGGGAGGTTGAAGCTGCTGTGAGCTGTGATCCCCAGCTTGGGTGACAGAGGGAGATCCTGTCTCTCTATATAAAACTTCCTTTGTGACTTTCGTAGTATCCATACTTTAAAATAATTCATGATTAAGAAGGAATTAATACCTGCCTCTGAAAAAGTACAGCCAACCAATTCGGTTGCTATTTGTAAGAACCTGATATTAAAGGTGGTTGTTGATAATAATGATAATAGGTATTAAGTATGGAGCAGTTTCTATGTGTCAGGCCCTACGTCAACCAGTTAACAACCTTACCTCACTGAGGCCTCATAGCAACCCTTATTAGAAGAGGGTTTATATTATGTTTTACAGTTGGGGAAACTAAGGCTAAAGAGGATAACTCCTTCAGGGTCAATCAGATAGTAAGTAGCAGAGTTGGAATTCAAACCCAGGTCTAGTTTGATGAAAGAGCTGTTCCTTTAAGCAATCTGCTGTAACATGCACCAAATGGGAAATGTTGCTTGGATCACTGGGTATGGACATCATTCACAGATACTGAACCCGGGGTTTTCTTTAACATAGCCTTAACCCCGTAGAAACATTTAAACTTCATGTCAGAAGAGAAATATCTATTCGAGAAATAATCTAAGTAAATTCATCAGATGCTTTACCCCAGAGAGATTCTGGTCTTGGTATCTGGGTTGTCGTTGTTGTTATTTGAGACGGAGTCTCGCTCTGTCACTCAGGCTGGAGAGCACGATCTCGGCTCACTGCAACCTCCGCCTCCCAGTTCAAGAGATTCTCCTGCCTCAGTCTGCCGAGTAGCTGAGATTACAGGCGCCCGCCACCACGCCCAGCTAATTTTTGTATTTTTAGTAGAGATGAGGTTTGCCATATCGGCCAGACTGGTCTCCAACTCCTGGACTCAGGTGATTCGCCCACCTCAGCCTCCCAAAGTGCTGGGATTACAGGCATAAGCCACTGCGCCCTGCTAATTTTTGCATTTTTAGTAGAGACGGGATTTCACTATGTTGGCCAGGCTGGTCTCAGAGTCCTGGACTCAGGTGATCCGCTCGCCTCCGCCTCCCCAAGTGCTGGGATTACATGCGTGAGCCACAGCACGCGGTTGGTATTTTGTGAAGAATCAACTACAAGGTGACTACTATTTTGGGGTCACCTTGATATGGAGGAGAGGCGAATGGAAATAAAACTTATTCTTTCTAGTGTCTTTTTTTAGAATGTGGGTACTGAAACTGAGTAAAACTGCCACCCAGTTTTCCTGGGAACCAGCGATTCTGCAGTTGACAGAAGTTTGCTTTTCCAACAGCTGGAAACACCAGAGTTGTGGCACAGCCTCAAGAACTGAGGTTCCCTTGTTCAGACTTTCACACGGTCCCTCTGTTCCTTCCACAGAGGACTCTTTTTCTTCTACATCCCGCATCTGCCGCTTGGGACACTCCTTCTCTAGGGCAGCACCAAACCTTCCAGAAAGGCGGCGCTGGTTTTCCGCTCCATTTTTAAAGGGGTATAGGCCAGTCCCTATCTGAATTCTGGATGACACATGTATATGTATATGTATATGTATATATGTATATGTATATGTATATGTATATGTATATGTATATGTGTGTGTGTGTGTGTGTGTGTGTGTGTATATATATATATATTTTTTTTTTTTTTGACAGAATCTCGCTCTGTCATCCAGACTGGAGTGCAATGGTGCAATCTTGGCTGACTGCAACCTCCGGCCCCCGGGTTCAAGCTATTCTCCTGCCTCAGCCTCCGTAGTAGTTGGGATTACAGGCATGCGCCACCACGCCCGGCTAATTTTGTATTTTTAGTAGAGATGGGTTTCTCCATCTCTGAGGTCGGTAGGCTGGTCTCGAACTCCCGACCTCAGGTGATCCGCCCGCCTCAGCCTCCCAAAGTGCCAGGATTACAGGCCTGAGCCCCGCACCCGGCCAACTCCGGACGATATTTATTGCTCTACTTTTTAATGTCTGAAGCATAAAGAAGAGGACAGGAAAGAAATTTCAATCTGAGGGTTGAGGACAGGTCCCGGAGCAGAGGAGGATCAAGCTCCCAAGTCCCCCGTCACCTTAACACGCAGACGGGTTACCAGGACTGAGAAGAGGGAGCAGCCCCGCCCCGCCCCGTCCAGCCCCGCCCCGCCCTGCTCCGCTGCGCCGCCCGCCATTGGCCGGTCCGAAAGACGCGGGGCGTGGTCGGTTTGAATGAGAGCGCCTGGAGCTGGGGCGCAGGCGCAGACGAGCGCGGCGTTGAGGCTGGAGGAGAGGCGGGATCCCCTAGGTGGCGAAGGGACGCTCCGGGAAAGCGAGGGGCGCCCCGAGCTCTGGACCACGTGACCTGCCGGGGGCGGGAGCAGGGGGCTGCCTGGGGGAGGGGCGTGACCACCCGCCTGTCGCCCGAGGCGGCCGCCGCTGCAGCCTCGCCGCGCACCCGGAGCTCGCCGGCCCGCGGGAGGTGAGCGCTGCCGCAACGCGGGGTCTGAGGCGTTTGAGGGGCTCTCGGAGGGAGGTGGCAGGGAAGGGCGCGAGTGGGCTTCTTTGTCTAGAGATCTGGGGGCGACGTCCTTTGTTCCGGTCGGAGGTCGGGCAGGAGGCTTGCGGCACCTCTGGGCGCTGCGGGGACGCGGCACCTCTGGGCGCTGCGGGGACGCGGCGTCCATCCAGGGCGTCCGGCTCCAGAATCCAGAAACTCCGCGCTAGGAGTTGCTGCTTTTTTGTTGCAAAGTCTTAATATGAGAGTAAAGCGCAAGAGTCTCGTTCCCGAGTCTCTTTTTAAGACAAAAAGTATACGAGAGTTCAGCGACTTCATACGTACTCTGACTGTGAGTAACAAATAGTGAGTTAAAGCCCGAATCCCCGTGAAATTCAATCCGAGGCTGATTGCAATCACTTGGAGTCGGCGGCGTCCTACCTAAACCAGGCGGTTTATAGCAAACACCTGCGTTGACTATGTTTAAATTGCTGAATTTTGGGGCACCAACTGGTCGATTTACCACAGAAATTGGTAGTTGCTATAAAAAGTGTAAGTAAACATAAAATATTAAGAAAACCCTTTCCTGAAATCTATAAGATACCTTCAAATAAAAAGTGAAAAGGTCTGTAATTTCCTTGTTTTAATAGTAACCAACTAGAGCATTTGAACTCTGTTAAAGAACACGAGTAACGATGGAAATTTTATTTTCCTTAATGTATAATTTAACCGCACCGTAGAATTAAACGAAGGTTCTTGGCCTTCCTTTCTGTGGAGTTTGCACTGGAGCGTTCGTGGGGTGTGTTGGAAGTTAACAGGACCCACCGAGCTGTTTCAGCTGCCAGTTTAGAAGGGTGTACCGAAGATGTCTGGCCTGATAATAGCCGGTGTGATTGCATCAGATAAATGCCGCTTTTGCTTGGGGTCTCACTATTCAAGAGCAGCTTTAGCTGATTGTTTAGAAGTGAATAAACAATATTAAAAAGGAAAGATCATTGTTGGTTGACATGATGTGTGGAAGAAGGGTGGGGCCTCCGGGATCGGAGCGGTCTCACACCTCCTCCTTTTTACAACTACCATGGAGTCGTTTTCGCAAGCTGTTTCCCAGGCCATTATTTATAATTTAAGTATTGGAGCGGTTACAAAGTAAAAAGTTGTGCGATATTGTTGTAGAGGCGCGTCTCCAAAATCCTCTCTGGCCAGATAAGCAGTTTAATTGTATGTTCTGACGTTATTAAATCAGAAGTTCGGTTTTACAAACATACTTTAATATAAATCTGAGACTTGGTACTAGACTAATTACAACAGTGATAAGATATAGTAGTTTTTAAAATAACTTTTTCTTTTTTTTTTTTTTTTTTTTTTGAGACGGAGTTTCGCTCTTATTACCCAGGCTGGAGTGTGCAATGGCGCAATCTCGGCTCACCGCAACCTCTGCCTCCTGGGTTCAGGCAATTCTCCTGCCTCAGCCTCCTGAGTAGCTGGGATTACAGGCACGCGCCACCATGCCCAGCTAATTTTTTGTATTTTTAGTAGAGACGGGGTTTCACCATGTTGACCAGGATGGTCTCGATCTCTTGACCTCGTGATCCACCCGCCTCGGCCTCCCAAAGTGCTGGGATTACAGGCTTGAGTCACCGCACCCGGCCAAAAACAACTTTTTCATAAACATAAATGTTTCTAACATCTGTCTAAAATTTTTTGTAATTCTGTGGAATTTTAAAATTGAAAACCTGACATCAATTTAGATTCTAAATTTATTTTAATAGATGTATTAAATATGTCTATGCTATAATAACAGTTACTGTTATTACTACAGCACTATGTTGAGTACTTTTGTTATGTATCAGAGCCAGGTCCTGGGTCAGACGCTTTATAAATCATGTCTGTAATCATCACAACACAGGTTAGGTAAGTGTCAGTATGCCCACACCAACTGAGAGTTTAACTAGGGTAAGATCATATAACTAGTAAGTCACTGTGCTGAGATTCAAATCATGACCTGATCCCAAAGCACGTGCTGTATTGCTTCTGTGTGTCCATTTAGATCTCTGCTGTGTCTCTGGATTCCATCTGCAGGGACAAGTTCTACTTTAAAGATGCCTGTAGGTGCTGTGTTTTGTTGTAGCTTGGCAGAAATATTTCAGTCTTTCTGCTGGAACTATCTTGCTTCATTATCTTATAAATCATCTTATCAGTCACATATTTTCAATATCCTTTTAATCATTTTTATACAAAACATTTTTAAGTGAAGAGTAAGACTTTTCTGAGTTTTTTACATAAATATGAATACAGTCTTTACTGTGGAGAAGAAATGTATTACGGTCCGGTTTTCTCACTATTACAGGGTTCTTTTGCCTCGTCGTAATTTCTATCTTCTTCCCAGGCAAGAAATAAAAGTTTGTTGGGCATCTCTTATGTGCAAAGCAGTGTCTTTGGTATCGTGAGATGAAAAAATGCTTCCTATTCAGTAGTTGTTTCTGGAGTTTTTGTAGTTTTTTTTCCCCCCTCCCCATTCCTGCCTTGTATGTTGCTGCCAGTTTGTCTTCCTAGCAGGGATCCAATTTGACTATTCCTTTGTGGGAAAAAAAATCCTGCAGGGTTCCCCACTGTGCAGGTAAAAGGCTGAATATGTGCTTCTGCCGCATATTCAGAGTCCCTCACAATTTGTTACTGCTCTACCCCGTCGGACTTCTCTTCCACTATGCTGAACCCACTATGCTTATTCTGGAACACTTCTGTGCATTTCCACCTCTCCTTTTTTCTTGAGCCATTCTTTCCCTTGACTTTCTGCCTTTCCTTCATTTGCCCAATAAGATCTACCATCCTTCAGGATGCAGTACAAACTTCCTTGCTTCCAAAAAGCTTTCCCTGGTCCCTTTTAGTTAGAATTGTTCTTCCCATATTATCTCAAAACATTGTTAAATAGAAACATTTATTTTCCCACAGAAAGGTAACAACTTTTGGGAAGAGAAGACAAAATCATGTTTAATATGTTTTCCTATGGAGAATTCTAAACCCAAACTCTCTAGGGACCCTCTCTAAACATTTATAATCTTTCTGCATATGGGATTTACTTCTGCTTTAAAATGTGTTTGGGCCAGGCACAGTGGCTCACACCTGTAGTCTCAGCACTTTGAGGGGTCCAGGTGGGCAGATCACTTGAGGCCAGGAGTCAAGACTAGCCTGGGCAACATGGTGAAACCCATGTCTACTAAAAATAGAAAAAATTTGCTAGGCATGGTGCTGGGCACCTGTAATTCCAGCTACTCGGGAGGCTGAGGCAGGAGAATCACTTTAACGTAGGAGGTGGAGGTTGCAGTGAGCCAAGATGGCACCACTGCACTGCAGCCTGGCAACAGAGTGAGACTCCATCTCAAAAAAAAAAAAAAGTGTCTGAAGCTAATTTAGCCTTTTTAAAGTCCTTCTTCTGTTAAGAAAACTGATTTATTGTCATTTACTAACTCAAGAAAAATGCTTAGTGGAAAGGACCATTTCTTTTCTATTTCACTAATGAGCTTTAAAATTATCATGTGTATGTATGCATCGATTGAAGCTGATGACTGACCATCATTGGTAGTAATAAATGGCCATGCGTACCAAAAAGGTTTAGATATAGTTCAGATGATCTAACCTGGAGGCAAGAAAAGTAAGTTATATTTATTGTCTGATTAGTGTTACCAGTTTATATAGATCCGTGGATGAAAGAAACAGACCAAAAAAAAAAAAAAGACCAAAAGTTATTAACATTTAAGTGGCAGTCAGGATCAGATAGTTTAGATAAATTCAAGGAAGCACAAAATGTAACTTGGTTTGCAAACTTTTTACTGCCAGTGGAGTAAAGCAGGGCTAGGACTTCTTTGATAAAGAGCTAGGCTTTTTTGTCTACTCTGGTTACATACCTTGGACAGTGCCTGGAAGTACACCTGATTGTCTAAAGAGAGTCTATTCTGACTTTGTAATCAGATAATTCAATGTGAGGCAATGAGAGCTATGTACTAGTTGATCTTTCTTTATGCTTCTGTCAGTTTCTGGGATATGGCAAGAAATGATTGCTTTTTCTTTATGGTTAGATGCTGTGATGTAGCAATTTTGTTAATCGTGAGGTTTTTGGAGCATTGCTTGGAAGCTGCTATTAAGACAGATTTGTTCCTTGCAGATTGTTAGCTGTGAATTGTAATGGAGGTCAGAGGTTGAACTGGATGACTTCTCAGTTTCCTTTCAAACTTATAATTTATTTTTCAATTCTTGATCCTGTGATTAAATTTTCTTATCCAAATGAACACATTTGTAATTTAATATTTGTTACAAATTTTACTAGTCTTACACTGTATACACACACATTGTATCTGGGAAGTAGGTTTGTTAACTCCATGTAATGAGGAACATGAGTGAACATACTGTTGCTAAATTGGCTAGAGAGTTCTTGAAACATGAATCATGAATCAAGAATTGCTTGTTTGTTCAGTGAATAATTTTTCTGTGAAATGCTACCTAATTGTTATGGAGACTGTAATGTAAGAGGCACTATTTTGGATATTCTTCCTTTGAGAATAGTAACACCGTATTATAAATTGCCTTTATTAAAACAGTAAATAGCATTCTTTCTGTCTTCTTGCTTATTTTAATGATCTTAGAAATGGTTCTCTGTGCAGTTTTCATCAAGTAAAGTATTTTGAAGCTTCATTGATTTATATTCATTTACTTATTTATTTGTTAAACATGTAAATGCTACATGTTTACATCTTAATGAGTATGAAATTAACATTTTATAATGTGATATTTAGAATTTTATTAACTCATGGATGAGAAAATTATTTTATTTTTTTAGAGACGGGATCTCACTCTTTGGCCCAGACTGGAATGCATTAGTGCAATCATACGTTACTGTAACCTCGAACTCCTGGGCTCAAGCAATCCTCCTGCTTCAGCCTCCCAATTAGCTAGGACTACAGGCACAGGCCACCACACCTGGCTGATTTTTTAATTTTTTGTAGAAACAGGGTCTTGTTATGTTGCCTGAGCTAGTCTTGAACTGCTGGTCTCGAGTAATCCTCCCACCTTGGCCTCCCAAAGTACTGGGATTACCAATGTGAGCTGCCAGGCCTAGCTGAGATCAATATTTAACTTTAATATCAGTATCTGTGGGGAATTGGTTCCAGGACCCCCTGAGGGTACCAGAATCCATGGATACGCAAGTTCCTTATATAAGACATTATAATATTTGCATATAACCTATACACATCTTCCCACAAACTTTAAATCCTCTCTAGATTACCTGTGATACACTGTATCATAGGTAAATGCTATGTAAATAGTTATTATATAGTATTATTTAGGGAATAATGCCAAGAAGAAAAGTCTGTACATGTTCAGTAGAGACACAACTATTCATTTTCTTTCCCGAATATTTTTGATACACGGTTGGTTGAATCTACTATGCAGAACCCACAGATCTGGAGGGCCTACTGTAACTTAATTCTAAGGTTAATTAATTGTAATACCTCTCTTCTCCATTTTATAAATAACAGCCCAAACCTCATAGTGGATAACGAGAGATAACTTCATTGCCAGTTTAGCTATTCGTGTAATCTAGATGCACTTTGGAGCTATTGCTATGAGTATCCACAGTAATTCCCTTTATTTGTTTTATTAAGAAAAAAAAGGCACAATAAAATTCTGAACAAAAGGAAAAGAGATTTGGTGTGTTGATAGCTGCTACCTGTCTTTTTGTCCTTTCTTAAAATACCTCTTCCTAGTGAATTCTGGGGCATGCAGCTGTCATCCCAGCTACTTGGGAGGTTGAAGCAAGAGGATCACATGAGGCCAGGAGTTCCAGGCTGCAGTGTGCTATGAATGAGATGTGAATAGCCACTATATTCCAGCCTGGGCAACATAGCAAGATCCCATCTCTAAAAACAAAATAACAACAAAAGATAGCGCTTCCTTTGTTGGCAAAGGGAAGGGATAAGAGGAGTAATATTTTGCGTGTCTTGTATGCTAAACTTGTTATTAATATGAAAACCTCATTTCCTCTAGGAAACTTCGTCAGTATTCCCAAGGCTGTTTCTTTCTACCTTCTTTCCTCTCTCCTTACTGCTCTGTTCCGTATTAACCTCTAGCTGTACTTAATTAGCAGAGCAGTGAGTATTCATTAGTCTGGTTTATGTTATAGCCGAAATACTTAAAAGGATGTTATATACAAGAGGAATTAGGTTTTATTGTATATGGCAGCAGAAGGAAAAAGTAGAACAAGTGGGTAGAAATGGAAGGACTGCTCAAAGCATGGAACAATCTTCTTATAGGAATATTCAAAATTAGGATTAGCTGCTTTATGACCTATCTAGGAATGATATAGTAAGATAGGGGACTAGCTGACCTCTAGGGTTGTTTATAACACTGAGATTCCGGGACTTTATGATTGTATATCTACTAATTTATCTCATATGTATGTATGTGTATATATATAATGCATATATATACACACACACACACATATATATATTTCCTTTGTCTTTTTCAACTGTTATCTCAGAGATTATAGTTTATATCTTATGTGCTGTGGCTCTAATATATTGGTACATATTCGTTTTTATTTAAAAGTTCTCAGTCCTTATCACTGAAGATTTTGCCTTATTCTTCTATTTTTCTTTCTCATCCTCCTATTAGATATATTTTAGAGCTGCTCATTTTGTCCTCCTTTTCTCAGAACTTCTCTTTAGTATATTTTTGTCTGTTTATCATTCTCTCTTTAGCTGCTTAACTAGCACATTGAGGGTTTGTTGTTGTTGTTTTGCAGGGGTTGACAGAGTCTCGCTGTGTCACCCAGGCTAGAGTACAATGGCATGATCTTGGCTCACTGCAACTTCCGCCTCCCAGCTTCAAGTGATTTGCCTGCCTCAGCCTCCCGAGTAGCTGGGATTGCAGGCATGCATCACCATGCCTGGCTAATTTTTGTATTATTAGTAGAGACAGGGTTTTACCATTTTGTCTAGGCTAGTCTTGAACTCCTGGTCTCACGTGATCACCTGCCTCAGCTTCCCAAAGTGCTGGGATTACAGCCATTGCTGTATGAGCCATTGCAGCTGGCCATAACTAAGTACATTGAGTTATTAATGTCAGTGTTCATGGTAGTTTTTTGTTGTGTTTTGTGGCAGGGTCTTACTCTGTCACCCAGGCTGGAGTACAGTGCCATGAACATTAATACTTTTAATAATAGCAAAAAACTACAATCTAAATGTCCATCAACAGCAGAATGAAAAATATATTTGGTATACAATGGAATATGATACATGCAAGTTGTAGCTGTGTACAAAAATTGAGAAGAATCTCAAACATAATGTTCAGCAAAATCATACAAAACTACATGGTATCTTATTTAGGACTATACAGGCATTTGTGGTAAAGTTGTAATAACAAGCAAAGGAATAAGGAACAAATTTTAGTTTAGAAATCACCTTAGAGGAAAAAGGAAGGAGATGGGTTAGGTTGGGCTATCCAGGAGATTTTAAAGGCCATGGTAGTGTTCTTTATTTTAAACTGAATGATATTATATAAATATTTGTTGTGTCATTCTTTTTACTATATATAAATTTCCTAAATTTCTTTTGTACCTACCCAATATTAATAAAAAGCATTTTAAAGACCTTAAAGAGTTTAAGTAGAATATATTTTGAGAGCAACTGAATCCAAGTATGACCTAATTATCAGTGTAATGTCTTCTTTAAAGAAATAAATTTAGTGAGTTTGGAGTTGACTATTTCAAATAATTATTGAATTTTCATTAGATTTGTTAATAGTAGTTTTTAAAAATTTGAAGCAACAATTTTGTTTTTTAAATATACTACTCATTTATAGCAGAAAATATTACATACAATTATTGAATTTCAAACCTATTTAAAAAATTAAACTGTACAGATCTCAAATCTCTTATATTACACCCCTATTGTAGAAGCTCCATGATGACAGTTAAGCCCTGTGCTTGCTTCTGTAGTGATTGACATGACAGCAGTCTGTGGAGTTAGCTTGTGATTATGTACAGGTCAGGGTTACTATAAGTTATTCTTTGAAAATAGGACTTCAAGCAAAGCATCTTGTATTCCTTTTGCAGAAATGTTGCTGAAGTGCTGCTGAAAGGGCCAGAGATGCAAGGATTTGGGACACATTTTGAACCTTTAAGCTGTCTGACATTGACCTCCTTTCATTATTAATAAAGAAGAAGCAGGAGCTTAGGATGTATTAACACCAACTCATTAATATACTAACCGGACAGTGTTCTGCAAACAATTCTGCATTGTAAAGGACTGGATTGGCACAAAATAAAATTATTTCATTCAGCTTATAATATGTCTCAATGGAGGAAAACTTGATAAGCATGAGGGAAGACCATTCTTTTCATGTTCGTTACAGGTAAGACTATTGCTGTCTTAGTGGATGACTTTTAATCCTTATTTTAAAATGTTTTTATCTCTGATCATTTCAAGTTTCAGTTGAAAATACTCAAAATATACCAGCCATAGTATTGTCTGTAGACAATGTTTTCTTTCTGTTGTTCTTGTGTCCTTTGTATAGGAAAATGGTGGTAGAGACCAGTGATGTACTATGGTTTGTTTAATGTTCTTGTGTCCTTTGTATAGGAAAATGGTGGTAGAGACCAGTTATGTACTATGGTTTGTTTAATGTTCTTCGGAACAGTTCATGAATAATTTCTTTATACTTTGTAACTTTTCATAAAATGCAAATATGTTAATGAAATGTGTTTGAAAATCTTTAGAGCTAAAAAATGGATTTAAAAAAAAAAATATGTGGTTTGCTGAAGGACCTAACCTTTACATTATAATTTAATGGTGATCTTTTAGAAATGAACTTTTTTATTTAAAAAATTTTTTTTCTAGTGTATTGTTTTGATTCCCTTCTCTGTATTTTTGATTTCCTTTTCTGTATATTTGTAATTTAATTTATTTTACTTTTTGACTTCTGTATTAGAAATGGGAGTCTCACTATATTGCCCAGGCAGGTCTCAAGCTCCTGGGCACAAACAGTCCTGCCTCAGCCTCCAAAGTAGTAGGAACAACAGGTGTGTGCCACTGCACCTGGCTTATTTTATCTTTAAAGGAAATTTTATTTCACAACCATTTACTATTTTAAATATTTACCTAATCCATATTAATATAAATACATTATTAAAATAAAACAGGCATTGCTCAAAAGAAATGTCATTTTTAAGTGTAATGTCTAGTGACATTTTGTGGTGTTTTGCTGATTTAATACATAAGACCACATTGCTACATGAAGTAGTGGTTTGGTAATCCCTGGTTTACTCCAGACAGCAAGTCAGGCTAAGGAAAGGCACCCACATTCTCTCACAAGCATCATGGGCCTGAAGGAAATGGCCTAGCTCCTGTAGGATTTACAGCATTCCCTTGGATGCCCACGTGGACTGTCTGCATTCCAGGTGGAAGGTTGCAGATTGTAGGGACCAGCATTACCACCTTTGTTCTGCATCTACAGGTATCTTTCACAAGTACAACACACTCCCTTTGGCTGCATCTTATATATAAATGTTATGCACATGTATGTGTGTCAGGAGGGGGGTGGTGCTCCCCACTGATCTAGATCAGGATCCAAATCAGACATATACATCAGGAAAGGAGTGACACTGGTCAGATGGCAACCAGTCAGCTCAAGGTAATTGCTGCTGGGCAGAAAAGGTACAGAGTGGGCAGGTCTTCTTGATTTTTCAGGAGAGCACAGGAAATCTGAAAATCTGAATTTTTTTGAGACAGTCTTACTCTGATGCCCAGGCTGGAGTGTATTGGAACAATCTTGGCTCACTGCAACCTCCGCCTCCCAGGTTCAAGCAATTCTCTTGTCTTAGCTTCCCGAGTAGCTGGGATTACAGGTGTGTGCCACCACGCCCAGTTAAATTTTTGTATTTTTAGTAAATACAGGCTTTTGCCATGTTGGCCAGGCTGGTCTTGAACTCCTGGCCGCAAGTGATCTGCCTCCCAAAGTTCTGGGATTACAGTGATAAGCCACCATGCCTGGCAGGAAATCTAAATCTTTAATATCTTGTCTCCAAATTCTGAAATGTTGGCAGCTAATGCAAATTTTTTTAAATGTGGGTTGAACATTTTAAGGAGGGGAAAAGGCCTGTAACAGACCCAACTCTCTAAAAAATCACACAGGCAAGGTTGAGGAGGTAGAGCCTGAGGTTTTGAGAAAGCTTTTCTCCAGGACATAACATACACTTACCCTGGGACTCCGAGGCTCTAACCCTCCTGCACTTCAAGGCCCAGAGCACCAAGTGTGAAGTGCTCATCTCCTGGTCTTGCGCACCTCATTGCCCTCCATGTCTCTGCGTTGCACCCTCCATTCCCCAAGCTCCATTGGTTCCTCTGCCTCCCAGACTTTGCCCGTTACTCCTTGGATGGCCTAGAATCCATTACCTGCCTTCCTCCTGGGCACTGCCTGCAAGCCAGGCTCCCATTCTCATTCTTCACTCCTGGAGGGTTGCATACAGACCTTCCTGTTGCATCCTTCTAGATGGGTTGCTTAGGTCAGTGTCACCCACAGACACCAGGCACCCAGTGTCAGTCCATGAGAGCATGCAGCTCACCCCCATCCATGTGTGGAGCTGAGCCTTCATAAATGAGCATTTGGAAGGAATGGGTATCAAAAGTCGGAATAGGTGGGTGCTTCATAAACATGATAACCGAGATCGCCAGTTTAATATTTAGTGATAAAATATTAATGACATTTCTGATGCAATTTGGAACAAAACAAGGCTATCTGCACTATGATTATTATTTAACGTTTATTCTGGAAGTTCTGGCAATTTCACTAAATGATAAATGCAAACCTAAACATAATCATTTAGTAAGGTGATTAGGTAATAGGGTTTTTTGGTTTTTGGTTTTTGGTTTTTGTTTTGGAATAGAGTCTCTCTCTCTCACACAGGCTGGAGTGAGTGCAGTGCTGTGATTTTGGCTCACTGCAACCTCTGCCTTCCTGGTTCAAGCAATTCTCCTGCCTCAGCCTGGGACTGAGTAGCTGGGACTACAGGCTTGTTTGTACCACCATGCCTGGCTAATTTTTTGTATTTTTAGTAGAGATAGGGTTTTGCCATGTTGGCCAAGCTGGTCTCGAACTACTGACCTCAGGTGACCCACCCACCTCAGCCTCCCAAAGTGCTGGGATTACAGGCATGAGCCACCGTGCCTGGCCTTTTTTCCCCACCTTGAGACAGAGTCTTGTTCTGTTGTCCAGACTGGAGTGCAGTGGCATGATCACAGCTTACTGTGGCCTCAACCTTTCAGGCTCAAGCAATCCTGCCACCTCAGCTTCCTGAGTAGCTGGGACTACAGGCATGCCTGGCTAATCTCTTTGTAGATATGAGATCTCACTATGTTGCCTAGGCTGGTCCTGAACTCCTGGGCTCAAGCAGTCCACCTGCCTTGTCCTCCGAAAGTGCTGGGATTGCAGGAATGAGCTGTCGTGCTCAGCTGGTACTAGATTCTTTATCAAAATTGTTACAAGTTAATTATTAGATAAACATCAGAATATCGTAGCAATGGGCTGGGCGCGGATCACGCCTGTAATCCCAGCACTTTGGGAGGCCGAGGCAGGTGGATCACGAGATCAAGAGAGAGAGACCATCCTGGTCAACATGGTGAAACCCCGTCTCTACTAAAAATACAAAACAAACAAACAAACAAACAAAAAAAACTAGCTGAGCATGGTGACGCGTGCCTGTAATCCCAGCTACTCCAGAGGCTGAGGCAGGAGAATTGCCTGAACCCAGGAGGCGGAGGTTGCAGTGAGCCGAGATTGCGCCATTGCACTCCAGCCTGGGTAACAAGAGCGAAACTCCCATCTCAAAAAAAAAAAAAATATATATATATATATCGTAGCAATTAATAGAATTCAAAATTTCAGAACAAGGGTGTTTTCTACCAAATTTTAGATGTCTTAACATATTTAGGAAATAGGAGATTTATCATCCTGTAGAGCAAATGGTTCATGTTAGGAAGTCATGCCAAGGAAGTTAACATAGGTAAGATGAGGACATGTCTATTAAAAATAAAAGTTTCAAGTAAAATAAAACGGAAGACATTTAAGATAATTAAGATGAACTTTTAACATATAAAATGCTCTCATCCTACCCTTTACATAAATTTCCAGAAACCTAGGAGTTACATACTTTTTTCCTTTCTCTCCGTATCCAGCATGAAGTATTGCCAGTTTCATCTCCTAAACGTTCGTCAGATTCATCTACTCGTGTGCGTCCTCCTCACCATAGCTTTAATTGGGATCCCCAGGATCTTCCTTTGAAACTCCCTCCATTCTTCACCTCTTGGAACCCATCGTTTTGATTTGCCACTTGTGGGCTCAGTCTCAAAACACTGAGCTAACTGCAACCTCTGCTTAATACCTGGGGTGGCTACTAGTCACGGGAGCCAAGCTGAACATAGAACAGAAGATCTTCCATTATCTAGCTTCTGCCTACTCCTTGGACCTTACTTCCTTCCGTTCTTCACTTTGCACTTTGAGCTCTGGTTCCCTGCATGTCATGCTATTTCATCTCTGTGTCTTTGCTCATGCTGTACCCCGTGTTGAATTCCCTTCCCACTTTCTTTGTTTAGCTAATTCTACTGAATACCTAAGGTTAGGCTCTATGCCCTCCCTGTGCTCATATTACAATCTGTGCATTTTTCTTTCTTAGCACCAACTATATTAAAATTAAATGAATCTGTTTTTATGGTGCTCTCTTCCTCCTCACCTCTCCCTTTGACCATTAGCTCCTCAGCAGCCATGATAATTAGCATGTTGTCTGGTACATATTGAACTTCAATGGAATATGAATGTAATAAGATGTTTATCTTTCTTGCTGAGCATTTAGAAGAGTAGTGTGCTTTCTAATATTGTAAGAACAGTAGGTAAGGAGGAATGGCTTGTACCTCTGCCTGTTGGAAGATCTTAGAATTATCTTTTTTTCCATGATACAATTTAGATCAAACATGGCTGCACATTGCTATAGGACTTCACCAAGGGAAACTTAAAAATCTGTACTGTCTCTAATAGGGCTATACCAAACAAATCCCTGGCTTTAGCAGTGCTCTAAGATCAGCATTCTGCATATTGATTGTATTGTCGTATAATTGGGGGTAATGATTTGAACCCTTTATGTTAGCCCATAGCCTAGTATAAGTTACTCTTCTACTCTAGTAAATACTTGTGAAATGTTTTATCCACTTGCTTCTACCATTGTGGAGGTCCTCATCTATCCCTGGAGGAGTTTCTGTGGCACAGTGAATTTTTAATTTTGAAATGCAATGTTTCTTGAGATACTAAGTAACCTCCTAAGGGACATCAGAATGCTTTATGAAATATTTTTCACCTATTTCAGA